CTTTCTCAGCAAATTACAAAACATTAACTTAGTCCACCATGATACAATCCTAGTAACGATGGATGTTTCGTCCCTTTACACGAACATTCCACATGTTGAAGGAGTATCAGCTTGCTATGAGTTCATAGTAACAAAAAAAATTACCTAACTACCAAATTACAGATATATGCCAATTAATAAAGTTCATCTTAACACATAATAATTTTAAATACAACAACAAACACTATTTACAGATTAGTGGCACACAATGGGCACAAAAATGGCACCTAGTTATGCTAATATCTTTATGCACATTCTAGAAAAGAAGATACTAGACAATTCGGAATATAAACCATCACATTACTTTAGATATATTGATGACATTTTCTTATTATGGACTCATGGATCAGAAAAATTAAAAACCTTTTTCACTTTCTGCAACAATTTCCACGATACAATTAAATTTACCATGGAGCACTCATACACATCTATCCCTTTCTTAGACGTTATGATAAAATTAAACAAACATACACTTTCTACCAGTCTATACAACAAACCCACAAACCAACATAAAATTCCTGCACTTTAACAGCTGTCATCCCTTTAAATTAAAAAATCTATTGTATACAGCTCATTTCTTAGAACCAAACGCATATGCTCAGACCATTTAGATTTTCTATACAATATTAATAACTTAACAAAACAATTCCTAAAATGCAAATACCCAATAAAAATAATAAAAGAAGCACTAAATAAAACTATCCTGATAAATCGTAACACACTTCTCACATACAAGAAAAATAAAAACAACAATCGGATTCCCATGGTTTTTAACCACAATCAATATTCCACACACTTATTCACAATTTAAAAAATGATTACAAGAACCTCCAATTAGACAACAAGATCAAAGACATTTTCGATAAACCACCCATAAATGCAATGAAACAATCACCTAACTTATCAGCTATCCTCACCTCTACCAAATATCTAAACAATAGAAACCAAACAGGAAATTACAAATGTAACAAACCTCGTTGCTTAGTTTGCAAACATTTAGTAATAGCTAATACATTTTACGTACCCAACACCAATATCAGGATACAGCCACCTAACCTCACCTGCGATACCCATAACGTAATCTATTATTTATTCTGCAACTTATGTCCTAATATTGGTGAGTCTGGAAACAATTTTAGATTTCGTTTTAATAACCATAAACAAACAATACGTCAAAACAACCCTTATTCCCCCATAGCTAAACACTACAATCAACCAGGACACACATTAGAAAACTGCAAATGTTTATTAATAGATTCCGATTTTACTTCCACATTCACACGCAGAAAAAAAGAAACATATTGGATTTTAAAATTAAATACACATAAATTAGGGTTGAATAGGGACTTAGGTGTTTTAAATCTTTATAAATATTTCAATAGCTAAGCAATTTCTTTAGATATAGTAAAAAATATTTTTAAATATTTATGACAGTTAGATTTAAGTTAGGAATATCTGAACAGTGACGTTCCATATCACGTGACGTCCGCGTCTCTCGAAGGACGCTACTTGCCAACAAACAGTAATTTTAATTTATTTGTAACAAACAGTTATTTCTGATGAAAATTGAGGACAATTTGAAATATCAAATATATATATAAATAAATAAATACTTTCATAAAATAAAACATTATAATTTTTAATTTGAAACTTTTATATATATATATATATATATATATATATATATATATATATATATATATATATATGTAAATATATATATAATATATTGGAATATGTACATAAATATATATATATATATATATATATATATATATATATATATATTTATATATAGGAATATATATAAATATATATATATATATATAAAAACATATATGTAAATATATATATAAATAATATATTGCAATATATATAGATAATATATAAATAATATATATTATATAGGATATATATTTATAGATATATATATATATATATATATATATATATATTCCTAAGTACAAAAATATATATATATATATATATATATATATATATATTTTGTGTACTAGGAATATATATTGTGTACTTTGGAATATATATATAAATATATATATATATAAATAATATATAGGAATATATATAAATATATATATAAATATATAATATATATATATATATATATATATATATATATATTTTGTGTACTTATGCAGCAATCCGCCTTTCATGCACATTTCATTGAATACAACAGACAAAGTGCTTTTATTTAGTTTTTTTTTAGATCGCATGAAAAATTGTATAAAAAATATATAAAAATACCTTGTCTGTCGTATTCAATGAAATGTGCATAGAAATATATATCTATATAAAGAAATATATAGGAACAGACTAACTTGTATGTTTTAAAAATGCGCCTGCTTGTCCTTGGTCTTGAAGTTTAATCAAAATTTAAGATATTTAAGAAAGTATTAACATTCCCGCATAAGACGTAGTGTCAAAAGGACGGTTTTTTCCA